GTTGCCATAGTCCTGGTTTTTACTTGTTTGTTTGGAGCACAGTTAGTGATTTTCTTGGAGAGGAAAGAATACCATCTAACACATTTTCTAAAACATAAAATTGTAATCATTATGTTTTTAAGCAAGACTATGAAGTGTGTTCCAGTGTTGGATGTATTTTTAAAATCAGAGACAGCTCTGGGTAGCCCTATTAATGAGCTGCGCGTTATGTTTATGTAGATCTGGAGAGTCTCTGGCGGCGAGCTGCTTCATCTGTGTGCTCCCGTTTCCGTAGAAGAAGGAGTTGCTACCCATGGAGGCTGGGTGACTGACCTGTGCTTTTCTCCAGACAGCAAAATGCTTGTCTCCGCCGGGGGATTTCTGAAGGTAAGAGTTCCTTAATGTCTTGGGCAAGGACTCTTTGGAAGCTGCCCTCACTTCAGTGAAGCCTTGCTCGGCCTCCGAGACTAGAAGGCAGGTCCTCCTGTCCGCATCGCACAGTGAGGAGGAGCCTGCGCTCTGCACAGCGACTCCCAACTCCGGGAGGAGGGTCAGCCCGCGGCGCCCGTCCTGCCCAAAGTCTAACCTAAATGTTCTTTTTCACTTCGTTAATTACTATCTTGACTGAAACTCTTTAAAAAGATACTGCATTTTCCCCTTTAGCACTCATAACTAATGTTGCCGCAGCAGCAACATACTGCTTTGTAGTGTAGAAAATGCTCTGTTCATCTCATTAGGTACTAGTCACAACTTTGAGGCTTAAATATTATCTTACTAGGTTTATATAGGTCAGGAAACGGATTTTCCTAAAATCAAAATTTTCCTAAAACTACATGAAAGAGCCAGTATTGGAACTCAGGATCTCTTCCTACTCAGTTTTGGTGTCCGCTTTGTTTAGGCCAGAGCTCGAGTATGTTGTGTAGCTTCAGAGTCATTGTTTTTATGCTTCCACCGTTTGATCTGTCCATGCGTCAGACTGTGCTAAGTACCCACTTTGTGCTAAGGCTCTGTGCTAGGTGACACAGTGTGTAACGTGGGCTTCTTTGCCTCTGCGGGGTTGCCATCTCTGGAGCATGCTGATCTTCAGCAGTCTCCAACGTGCAGGGGCGTCTGGTACACAGTGACAGGAAGGCAGTGGAGGCACGGAGGATGCTTGAAGAGAGTTTTGAATGGTGTTTGACTTGTAAAAAGGAGAGATTTTTCAAACAGAAAACAGTCAAGGGTAAGATAGTATTCTGCTTGATTGGCAATCCCAATATAGATAATTAGAAAATATTTTAATGAATTAAAGTTTTTGCCTATGTGGAATCCATGTAATTCCAGTTATACGCAATATAAAAATGTAGGTTCTAAATAGGTAAATGGAAGGAAGTTTTCCATTTTATAAACAGATGTACTTTATGATTATCTTACAGAGTTTCACAGGGCAAACCAACACTGTTTACAGAATGTTGTATTAGCTCATAGCTTTGGGGCACAGCTTGTCTAGCTACAAGGACGTCCTGAGTGAGACACGCATCACTTGTCTTCCTAATGCCGCGACCCTTTAATACAGCTGCTCATGTTGTGGTGACCCCCCAACCATAAAATTGTTTTTGTTGCTACTTCATAACTGTAATTTTGCTACTGTTACGAATCGAGCGACCCCTGTGAAAGGGTCATTCGAACCCCCCAAGGGGTTGCAACCCACAGGTTGAGCACCACTGCTCTAATGTAAAGATGAGCCATACGCTTCATCTGCTCTGACCACGGTGAGGAGGAGAGAGGCATTGCTGTCGTGGGGCTGGGAACTGGAAAAGCTTTCCGGCTTTGATACCGAGCTTCTCAACACTGCGTCATTTGATTCTCCAGGCCCCAAGGAATGCTGGCACATAATTGTGGATCTGGCGTACACGATGTTAAGAAGATCCAGGACCAGATTTTCAGAGCCTGTAGAGAACTCGAAGTCAATTAGCAGCAGAATAGATAGCCTTCCTGCAGAGGTTGTGTCTTAAAGGTGACGTCTGTTGCCTCTTTGTTTAAGTCACATCATGCTACTTTCCCCTCTGGCTTGATTACTAGCGTGTTAAACTGATGATGACATAGTCCAGCCTGTATCTACGCAGCATGTTAATGAGATGATCCAAAAGCACAGAGCAGGTTAACAGTAAAAAGGCGCAGCTGCTGTAAGGTCCAAGAAAATAGGCCTTTTGTGTCTGTGTACTTTGGATTCAAAGCTGTGTGAATTGAGCGTCAGTAAGGTAACGTAGGTAGCCAGTGGCTAAACAGCTCTTCATTCTCAAAATTAATCCTATTTATAAGTTAAAAAAATACGATTTAGCTCTTTATCTGCACTGTACCACAGAGCATGCACTGTTAGAAGGAAAGAGACCTTTATCCTTCATATTCTGGAGGGGAAAGGCTGATTTGAAACACACGGAGAAGGCAGGCATGCCGTCACTTGGAGAGCAGAGCATAAGAGTGGACCTTGGGGCAGAGCACCTGAATCCCAAGCTGAAGCTGACTCTGCACAGAATTTTTTAAACTTCTACACTGGGTTTTGGGGGTGTTAAATGAGTGATTGCATGTAAAACAGCCACACAACGTGGCATGTAGTGACCTCTGCGTTAAGTGATAACCGCTCTTTTAATATTAGTGCTTTTTAGTTCATACTCAAACCAGTGGCTGGTGTAGTGCTTTTGAGTGGCCTGTTTCCATAAACAGAGAGCACTGGATTAGGAAATCGGGGACAGTTCCACCTCTGCTAGCATTGCGGACTCTGCTCACATGGCTGTCTGTGCTGGGTAACTCAGCCCTTCTTCTTTCTGAATCCCAGTGTCTGCATTTGTAAAGTGAGATGGTTGGACTAAGTCAAGGGTCAGCAAACTTGAGATGGAAGAGCCCAACCTGTCCCTCATAACAGTTTGAAAACGAGAGCCATACGTCTGTTTGTACAAACAAATGAAATCACCGTTATCTGAATATAGCCTCTAAGAACTGTCAGTGTTACTTCCGCAGCACATGCACAGACCGAAAGAGCTGCCTGTGGCTTTCGAGCCGCAGTTTGCTGACGGCGCCTGGGCTAGGTGCGTTGTGAAGATCCTTCTTTCTCTACAATGCGCCCCCACAGCTAATTATTGTTGTCAAGCCGGCGGGGTGTATCCTCTGCAGGCTTTTACACAGTTTTATTTTACAAAGCAGATGGTCAGTTGGAAAAGCCCAAGTTAGGGCATGCTGGGGGGTGTACTAGAACACAGAGGGTATATTTTTACAGTTACTGTTACTAATAATGAAAGTGATGTGTAAATGCCCGTGATTCAAAGGCTACTGACACTTATTTGCTCATGGCACCCCTGAAGGACCTCAGATGGGTTCTACCTGGGACCTTTTCCTAATCCTTGCATGGGCATGGTCGCTTTCAGCGTGAGATGGACAGGTCAGCTCTATGACCTCCATGTGTCAAATGAAGAGGAATGCTCGAGTCTTAGCAAGTTCCATATTTGGGAGGAGAAAGGAAAGATGTAGCTGGAGTGCCTGCTGCATTTGAGATGCCGGTATCTATTTAGCAAAGAAACTTGAGCATGGACTGGAGAATCAATCACTCCTGGTAAAAGGGAGTGTTCAGTGGAGAGACCATTCTTTCGGATAGCCCATATCACAGACAAGTGTGTGTGTGTCCAATAGAACATCCCTCCTTGTCTGCAAAGGGCCATTTTAATATGAAGAGAGAGCGGTTTTCTGTCTATTGCTCCGACCAAGACATGCAGGCAGGGGAGTTCAGTTCAGCCACGGCCGTGATGGCCGGTGTGCAGCAGGGCTGAAGCAGACTGCAGCCTTCCCCAGCACTCCTGTGGCAGGGCAGGCATCGGCACGAGTCTGAAGCAGTCACACCGAAGTTCATGCGGGGAGGCTGACCCGCCTTCGTTCCTCTGTTGGACATGTGGGGCAGAGGATCTGGCCAGCCTCCAGAGCGTCTCACACAGTAATTGTCAGTCTAATGAGATTTTCTTTGTCTCCGAATAGTGGTGGAACGCGGTCACTGGGGAATCTTCACAGACCTTCTACACAAACGGAACCAATCTGAAGAAAATACATGTGTCTCCGGACTTCAAAACATATGTAACTGTTGATAATCTTGGTATTTTGTACATTTTACAGATTTTAGAGTAAAACAGCTGGCCATCAAATTAAAAGATAAATTCTTTAAGTTTTTGAAATGGAAAAGTTGTAATGAAATTCTGTATTTCAACTCTTTTATAAAGCTGTGAATTGTAGTATTGCATTCATTATAAAAGTGTTTGATGGTGGATGAGTATTAATCAAGCTTTTCCTCAAATGAACATACCTTTAATTTCGTTTTTCATAATCATCATCTTTATTGTGAACAGTTTATCCTTACCATGCAAGTGAAAATAGTATAACAAGGTACGTTATTTACGTTGGTAAAATTCTCTTGATGCATTCAAATTGGTAGGCATAATTAATGAGAACAATTTGAAGGAAATTTGTATTTTAATATGACCATTATGCAGGCAGTGCGTCAGAGTAGTGGTGGCCAGCTCTCTGACCCACAGTTGCCCCAAAGGAGCATAGTTCTGCCAAACACAATCTTGGAGCTTATTTGCCCTCTCCGAATTTGCTTTCAGAGAAAACATAACTCTGGCTGTGTGCATAGTCAGCCTTCTTTCCTTTAATTAACTCGATCCCCAAGTTCTTTTGATGAAGCAAAATTTACGTGTGTGGGATTGGGTAGATTGTCTTGCTCTCATGACTGGACTCCAGTTATATCTGCTTTGAACACTCTCCTGTCCCTTGTTTTTCACATACCAGACTTCTTCCCTGTCCAAACTTGAGCTTTCTTAATCCTCTCATTTTCTTTTTTTAATGGTAGTAAATAAGAATAATTAGGTAAAGGTCAATGTTTAATCCTAAATTTGGATAAAATACTTTTTCTAAGAAATATGAAATAGTTAAAAAAAACCTCTTTCTCTTTGTCATTTACTTTGACTTCCTTTTTTTCTTTCTGTAGTTTGAATGAAAGTTTACAGAACCAAATCACTTTCTATTCAACACCTTAAGCAGATTTTGTTGTACGGTGTTATTGTAACCCCCTAACGACACCAACACTCCTTCTCCCGTGGTCCGTTTTCACTTGTCCTCCTTGCCTGCCACTTCTGAGCTGCATTTTGGGCTCGTGTGGTCCCGAGGGTGGAGCTGGTTCCTCAGGAGTGTTAGTATTCACTCAGCTCTGCCGTGAATGGTGCTGTTAGCGTCTGAGATTCAGCAGAATTCTCTGATTTTCTGTGCATTGTAGAAGAATCATTGTGATTCTGGAAGATGTCGATTTTAACTTTTCAACCTTCCATGCAGCCTGTTATCCCTGTCCTTCCCTTCCTCTTGTTACCGAGGTTTATCAGGAAAGATAGCTTTTGATTGGATTGGAAAGAACTTCATCAGTAACTAGCTATTTTGGCTTCCTGGATTAGGAGCCTTAATAAAAATTTAAGTCTAAGCATTTTCTCTGAAATACATCAAGGGAAGTATGGATAACTTAATAATGGATTGCCATATGGAAAGGGTCATCCCCAAGCTACAGTTTCCTGTCTCTGTCACAGGAACGAAATCAACTTGGTAGGAGTATGAACAGTGGTAGGTCAGCAGTGGCCCTGTTCGATGGCTGGTCCTTGCTAGGAGATGGGGACATTGGTGGGATCTGAACATGACCTGATTCTTTTTAGCATTTGAGGGCCCCTTACACAGAATGAAAACTTTTTATATTGTGGAGGAGGTTTTTTAAAGTTTTGTTTTCTGTAAATGAACTGGTTTACATGCTCACTGTGACTTAGGCAATATGTGAAAATGTTAATTTTATTAAATCACCAACTGGTATATATCTGCATAGAGTATCTAAATCATAATTTGGTTTGGGTGCATTCTTTAGGAACTCATCGCATCGATAGCTCAGAGTTCAAAAATACTAATTTTTAAAATTAAAATCCCCAAGACTGTTATGAGTATATAAACAACCAGCAGCTTTGGTTGCCCCTTGTTTTAAAAGAAGTGATCAAGAAGAAACACAGGCTGCCCAGAGGGAGGAGGAGGAGCCGAGCACGAGGGGACTGCAAATCTCATGGAAGCTCACGAAGTCGGCAAATGAGCGTTTTTAAGCATTTTCTCTGGCTGAATTTTTTGGGGGGGCTTTGGAAATCACATTGAACTTTGTATATATAGATAGATTTTTTTTTACATTGTATGTGTCTTGTATGGTTTGAAAACTTGTCAGTTTTGTATTTATGGTATTTTCTACATGATTTATTTGTCTTGGTATACATTTTAAAATTGCATTCAAAAATTGTTTACAAAAATAAAATTTATAAAATCGTTTTAAAAACACTTGCGGGTTGTCTCATATTCCTTGCTTTCGTTTCCCTGTTGATTAGAAAACTAACGTGGCAGAACCGTCAAACTAGAGCCGCCAGCCTTCCCACCAGGATCTATCAGTTCTGGGCCCTCAGTGTGATCTGGTTGATGGGTTTTGCCTGGTGTGACTGACCTGGAGACGACCCTGAAAAAAGAACTCACTCATTTGATCATTTTTGAAATTCATCAGTTCAATAAATATCGAGATTTATGCATCTGACATTGTTCTAGGTGTTAGGGATATAGCAGCGAAACCAGATCTTGGGGCTGAGGTGGTATGTTCAAATGGGACCTGGTTGCAGTTTTAGATGGAATGGTTCATTGAGAAAGTGACCCTGAAGCCATGAAAGACGTAGGAAACGAGCCAGGCATGTATATGGATGGCGTCCTTAGCCAAGAGGATGGCAAGTGAGCGGGTATGGCTGAGAAGAGCGAGTGAAGTAGAAAGGGAGCGGAGTTCGCTATGTGGAGGGCCGCCTCCGACATGGTAAGGTTACTTCCTGGTGAGGGCCAGTTTGGCTGGGGGGCGGGGGGGAGTTTGAGCGAAGTGACCTTGCCATTTGAGACTCATTTGAGCAAGGGAGGGTAAGGAGGGTGAAAAGATGGAGGAAGGGAGATTCATGGGAAGCTTTTGCAGTAATCTGGGCAAGAATGAAAGTATCAGACACGGGTGGCAGGAATAGAGTTGGTGGCAAGTTGGAGATATTAAAGAGTCAATAGGATTTGCTGATTATATGAGTTATGAGATACCATTCAAGAATGATGCCAAAAAAAAAAAAAGATGCCAAAATTTTGGCTTGAAACAACTGCCAGAGTAGTCATTGGCTGAGATTAAGTAGCTTTAAAGGGCCCATCAGGAGCTCAGTGGGAGACATCATAAAGTTCAAAACGCATATGCAACATTCCAGGGGAGATAGGAAGTGAGTGCCCAAAAGGCTCAGGAGTTGGGAGAACTTCATGCTGGAGATCATGCCAGTCGTCCATGAGTCAGTGGTATTTAAAACCAAAGGCCTCACTAGCAAAGACAGGAGACCCCAAGACTCCAAACCAAGAAAGCCCAAAGGAACGTAGCGTGATAGGGGACCAGAACAACTGATTGAGAAGGAGCCACCAAAATGAGACATCACAATGCGGTCGGTATGAGAAGTATCGTGAGTGTGGTGGGCGCGGTCACGGGCGAATTCTTAGATTCGTTCATGGACCCGTCTAGCCTGTGTGTCTCAAGCACCTACTGTGGGCCAGGAAGTGCTTCCTGTAGCAGACAAGACCAAACACTATGTTTTAGTCACTCTCTCACTGACTCCCTTCGGACCGAAAGATAAGAAACACAAACACACCAGCAAAACAAAAGCAGCAACAAACACACACCAGTTTCCTTTGTAAAATTAGGTTCAAGTCTTCCATCTAGGATTGTAAGGCTCTAGTAAGTTAATGCAGATGAATTACGTATCCTGGTGCTCGCACCAAAAAAGTGCTCCTTAGACATTTCTTGGCATTACTGTACTTGATAGTAATCATTATGACTGTTTCCTTGTTGAGGGGACCCCTCACCTTCCCCTGGCTCTGACTGCTCTCTCTGCCAACTTATTTTGCACAACATGATCTTTCCAAAGTGCCAACCGCCGTGGTAGGCTGCTAACAGCCCGAACCTGCTATGTGCTCTCTGGATTCTGTGGCTTTGTACGCACTGTTTTGAGGTTTTCTCCTCTTATTGTCCCCGCCAACCCCGTTTTACAATTTATTTCCTCACAGATTCATCATTTTTATGTGTTTGCTGAGATGACCCATCTGCTGAAAGTCAGCCCCGACTCCTGTGGCACTTTTTCGTTCATGCCTTTTATGAATGGCAGTGTTGGTGACGACAGTGGAAAGTTCTGGGGACTGTCAGAACAGACACCTGCCTGGGAGGGAGTGCGGCCAGAATGCCCTTATGAAGGGCAATGGCGGGACTTTGCCTCACGCACTTTGAACATATGATTAGGAGGGACCAGTCTCTGGAAAAGGACATCGTGCGTGGTAGAGGCTCAGTGAAAAAGCGGAAGATTCC